TTGGTTAATTCTGCATGTCGTCGAGTCTTAATTTGAATTTCATCCACATCTTGAATTGTTTCGTTCATTGTCTGGTTAACGCAGTCCTTTCTGTTCTGACTCTCTGCATAGCTAAACCTCTTGTTGTAGGTACTGACTAGTCTTTGGATATTTGATTGTGACGTCACATTCATAGGAACACACGTGGTAATTAGGGCAGTTTTGTTCACTGTTTTATTCATATATTCGTAAGGACTCTCCAGTTTCCTCAGGAAATTTGGTATGATGGGCACTAAGATATACAAAATGTTTAGACATTGTGGATGAAAGCTGATATACATATGTCTGTATTATAATGAGAACTGATATTAAATAATAATTATAATATTGTTTTTACAGAGACTTAAAACATAAAGGCAAATTCAGGGAAGAAATTATTTTGTCTCTTTCCAAGAGTTCCTGAAATAGAAAGTTTACCAAAGTTTTTTTATCTGCATTAATTATACCATAAGAAGCATCTATACGGGAAGAAGTTTATTAGCACATTGTATAAATTAACTACTATACTTATATTGACATTACTGATCTGATGATATTCTTTTTAGTAAGGTATAAATGTATAAAACAAATAGTTAGATTTTATGTCAGTGTTTCTAATCTGTTTGATATTCTTTTTGAAAAAGCAAACAAGTATAAAAATAACAGTTAATTTTTTGTCAAGTTCGTCTCATTCGACCACAGGAGTAGGCTTATCAGTATACATCCAGCTTACAACCGAATGCCATTTCTAGAAATCTGTGTTTTCACTGTTTGTTTGTTAGTACTTGATTTTTGATATTTTATATTGATTATTTTATTGTTTGATGACGGTTTGATACTGACCGACAACGGAAAGGAGCATGCTGTCTAAGAAAAGTGCGATGAAAACGATGACGACAAGGAGGTAGCGAGACTGGCGACATCTGTTGATGCATCCCGACACCTTACTACGAGAGACTACCTCCTTCATGGTCATACTTCTACATCAAAATATGTAAAACAAAGTAATTAAGAAAGGGATATAATGATAAAATTATTACCATTAACTGTCCAACTAAAACACAACTTCCCAGCTACGAAATAAAACAAGTAACTCAGTATGAAAATATGAAATAAATCAAATGTCTAATGAATAAAATGCTATAGGCTGTAAATATGAATAAGATTAAATTAACGAGCAGTGACCAAACTCTGTAGCTTAAAGATGAACACGATTTGTAAAAGGAATGTGTCCGCCATTTTTGTTCGGATTCTATTAAGTTTCTATTATATTAAGTTACATGATCACTGGAAAATAACTTTTATCTTTTATTTAATCTTACTTTACTCATTTTTCCCCAAGGTGTTAATTTGTTAAGACTCTGATATATAAGATAATACTGACACCTATATCAATTGTCAAAATGACAATTTGAGTAAACTCAAGATTTTTTAAATGTCCTAGGAAAAGAATACCCTTACCTATTTAAATATAAATCTCAGTTTCTGTGACTTTGGTAATTTTGTAGTTGTCACAACGATAGCACCAGCTAAATGTCACAACGATAGCACCAGCTAAATGTCACAACGATTGCACCAGCTAAATGTTAACTATTCCACTCCTTCAGTTTTTCATAATTAAACTCTAGACATAACTAGAACTGAAAATTGTACCATTACGGGGCGCAACTGTCGTTTGTTAAATGAACTGACTCGTGAAAAAATCAATTGTTTTTTCATTGTATATTTGTATATAGAAAATACTAAATGATGTGTGCAGAAATCAAAACATCTCCACTGACAGATGGTAGCATAATTATTCTCTTATTACAGAAGAGACAATTGACAAATGAAAAAGAAATAAAAAGTAAAAACGGAATTCTTGGAAATGTTGTGCATCATATTTATAACTTCTTAAAATACAACCTTGAAAATTGATTGTACAAGGGTTGATCCAAAAGTAATGTCACAACTTTGATAAAATTGATAAAAGTCGACGTAAAACAACAAAATTATAAAAGATGGAAGCTATATTTATTTCAAATCAGACCTGGAAGGATCAAATTATTATTATTTTATATTTTCTAAAATATCGGATTATATATAATATTCGATCGTTTATGGTAGTCGCCGCTACTAAATAATGTCAGGTGACGGATACGCGCCATCACACATGTTCTTTTAAATGTTTCTACTTCGTTTCATGAAAATGTTATAGATTCACGAAAGCGTTCACATATTTTACTTTTAAGAGTTCTTGGTACTCTTCGTGCACTCACTCTTTTCATAAGTAAGTTCTCTGTAAAAATTCTTTGAACAGTAGCATAAGTAGCATTAAACAAAATCAAAATTTCACGTTGCTGTAACCGTATGTCTTTTTTGACAACGTCAGACACCATTGAACGTTTCTGTCAGACCTCCCATCTTTCAGTCTTCTGCTGATTATTCAATGACCCATAACCAGCTGATTACCTTTTACTACATTCTTTCCTCCGTGATCCTAATTAATCAACGTAACTGTCTCTATTCATAATTTCCCTATTTTGAAGCAAAAATGCATTATATCTCGTCCTGACGTTTTTCTTTTCTATTTCGACGATTCCTTTGGTCAATGCAATGGAGTAAAATAACAATGTCTGTGATCACAAATACCAATGTTGTCAATTAATTTTCAACTAAAAACTAGACAAGAGGCCCACGGGCCTTATAGGTCACCTGAGGATCATGTAACAACTTTTGACAATTGAATTTATTTCGTGTTTTAAACCAGAGGCCATGAAATTCATAATTTTGAAAAATGCACTATTCCTTATCATAATTATAACTTAGCATGCTTACTCTAGTTACTTAATACCCAGACGTAGATCAGAGTAACAAAGAGAAAATCATTTTCACTTTATAACCAGTTATGTACCTCATCCCAAAAGAACCACTAGCCCTGGGGCCATTTATTTCAAAATGTTCGAAATTTTATCATAAATTTTATTTCATCATAAATAGTTGATTAATACTAAAAAGCAGATTTTATAGCATTAATTTATTTTCAGACTATGACCCCCCCCCCATACCCCTGACCCGGGGCTGGGGTGTGAAACTAACCGTTTTGCTAGATGCACCTTTTTTCATATATATATATATATATATATATATATATATATATATATATATATATATATATATATATATATATATATATATATATATATATATATATATATATATATATATATAACTTATACTTAGATCATTGGCATAATTTAATACCCTGGGGCAAAGGAAAATATTTTCAAAGAATTAATGTATTTTCACTATATAATCAAAAGAGCCCCCCAACCTTAAGGAAATGGCAAAACACCTGACACAGGGGACTTAAAAATTCACAAATTTGGTTGAGGCGCCATTCTTGCTCATCATAACTATATACTTTATGTTGTTTATTTAATATCCAGAAGCAGAAAAGAAGATTTTTAAAGAATAAATGCATTTTCATAATATAACCAATTTTTAGAGCCCATAATTAACACCAGAACCCCTGACCCTGGGGCCATAAAATTCACAATTGTGAAAGAGGCACTCTTGGTCATCATAACTATGTACTTAGTTTGTTTATTTAATACACAGGAACAGAGAAGAAGATTTAAAAGAGATAATGCATTTTCACTATATAATCAATAGAGCCGCGCCCTAACACCAGAACCCCTGACCCTGGGGCCATTAAATTCACTAATCTGAAAGAGGCACTCTTGCTCATCACAACTATGTACTTAGTTTGTTTATTTGATACCCAGGAGCAGAGTAGGAGATTTTCAAAAAATTAATGCAATTTCACTATATAATCAATAGAGCCCCGCCCTAACACAAGAACCCCTGACCCTGGGGCCATTAAATTCACAAATCTGAAAGAGGCACTCTTGCTCATCATAACTATGTACTTAGTTTGTTTATTTGATGCCCAGGAGCAGAGAAGAAGATTTTCAAAGAATTAATGCATTTTCACTATATAATTAATAGAGCCCCGCCCTAACACAAGAACCCCTGACCATGGGGCCATAAAATTCACAATCTGAAAGAGGCACTCTTGCTCATCATAACTGTGTACTTAGTTTGTTTATTTGATACCCAGGAGCAGAGAAGAAGATTTTCAAAGAATTAATGCAATTTCACTATATAATCAATAGAGCCCCGCCCTAGCACTAGAACCCCTGACCCTGGGGCCATGAATTTCACAATTTTGGTAGAGGACTCAATGCTGATTACAGTCATACCAACAGTTTGACTGCTTGATGTCCAGGAGTAAAGAAGAAGATTTTTGAAGATTGCACTAACTTTAGTGGTTTTGGCCCCACCCCCAAGGTCCAAGGGGGACAAGGACCATGAAATTCACAATTTTTGTTCCCCTTCACCCATAGATGCTGTATGCCAAAATTGGTTGAAATAGGTTCAGTGGTTTCAGAGAAGAAGCTGAAAATGTTCAAATGTTAACACACGACACACGACGCACGACACACGACGCACGACGACGGACGAAAACGGATAGCCATAGGTCACCTGAGTTTACTCAGGTGACCTAAAAATGTGAATTCTGTCTTTCAAAATTTGGGCGATTGAATAAGGCTTTTTTTCGAAGATTTTTGATGTGTTTGTCTTCTTCATTCCAGGAAAAATACACTTTAAAACGTGACGTTTTATGACACCGCTTATGTTCTATGTTTTAAATATCTATAAAATAAATTTAATTCGACATTATTAAATGAAATTTCAAAGTTTATTAGACTTATATATTCTGCATCTTTTGGTTTTATATATTTGATAATATGACGCCAAATACAAAAGATATGGACACTGTGCTATTACTTTTGGATCAACCTTCGTACATTTTATACGGAATAACGTTGTTATATTACATTTAGATAAGTTACATAAAACCTAAGAATGGAGAAATGAAATAATACCACAACTTTATTATGTTTGTTCTCATATCTGGGCACTGTTTCTAATACAATAATAACATTCTGTACAAGGTTGATAAATTATTTTCTAATTGAGAAATATTATCTCATCCATACACATTTAATTAAAATACAGAACAGTAAAGTTACCCGATAGAATTCCTTATTGATAGGCATTTTTCGGCAATAATATCAAATATCCTAGTATTTTTTAGTTGTTTATCAATAAATTACAGTTTGCTTTATGGTTTTTCATTCAACATAATTCAGATTACCGGTACATGATGTTTGTTACTCGATGTACAACAGTTATCTGTATGTGCTATGCATTCTGTCCGGTTCACATTTTGCCATCTACTTTTTCCGAATCATTATACCGATAAATCACTTAAAGATATCGAAGAATTAAGACCTTGGAATGTGAGAGGTCAGAGCAAACATTACTTACTATTTAACCTATACAACAAATCATGTTCTCAATTTCCAGTGTGTGTGTATATTATAATTCACTTTCAACCTTTGTTTTCTTTTGGTTTGGTCGGCCGCGTGGCGCAGTGGTTAGGGCGTCTGCTCTAGAGTCGCAAAGAAAGGAGTCAATCCTTACATAGCGGGTTCGAATCCCACTGTGGGACGCGGAGACCGGTCCGTCGGATGAGACTGCATAAACCGAGGTCCCGTATCACAGTAGATGCTGACACGAAATCCCTAACTGCTCAATGGCCCTGAGAGACGAGTATAGGACAAAATTTGTAGCCCTCCACAGGCAAGTGGTGGCATCTCCATGTGAGTAAAAAACTCTCGACTGGGACTTTAAACAACATGCAACCAATCAATCAATTTTTGGTAAGTATATTAAGACCTTATGAAAATACGTTCCATAGTTATTCTTTATACGTCAATTGAAGATGTTTTAAAACCTTCTTAATTATCTCAAATTCTTTCTAAGAAAGACTGGTTGTAATGTTATCCCAATCTGCACGTTAATTTGCCACACGATCTCCTTCACACTCATTCTGAATGTTAATATAGCTTTCGCTTTCGTCTTTAT